CTCTGCAGGTTCAAATTAACAGGAGTTGGTGAATCAGGGCAGCACCTGCCTGCGAATAGAAACACTTTTTCACCAAGGAAAGTTAATCCTTTAGTCAAGCTTGGAGGTGGCAGTTCTTTTATAAAATTTATGTAGGCTAAGTTTATTCCTGCTGTACCTTAGGTCTCCAAAGGGAAAATAATGCTCTGCTTTTTGTTCACATAGAGCTGTTTATTTATTTTAAAGCTCATCTTTGTCCCATGGTGTATATCATTTAAGACCTTTGGCTCTAATCAACATACATTGTTTCAGAAAATGTGGATGTTTGGAGGTTGGAGGTTAAAAGAGTGGGAAAGCATTCCCATAAATCTTCACTTTCCCTTTAAAACTGCAACTGTTGTTCAGTTAAGCTATACCTTTGTCCCAGAGCAGTACCTAATCTCTATTTGTTGAAATATAGTTTAAAAGGCACTTTTGTACAGAGAAAGTTGAAAGGAGCAGTACAGAATAACTGTAGGTATTAGGATAAGTCTAAAGATTCTCAATCAAAATAAAAAACAGAAATGTGCTAAAAATGGCAGTAGTCCAAGGCCGCGGGCTCAAAAAGCCAGTACTCAGAAAGGGAAATGAAAGACACTGAATAACAGGTTAAGTGTTAAGACTTACACCGAGAAGCTACAAAACATTTCTTGGCATTGGAGAGTTCATTATTTCAGGTTCTGGCTAGTCATAAGATTTAGGAAACCAGGAGGATGTGTCAGATCCTGCAAGTCTCGCTGAGAAGCAAAGGCGGCCACAGGAAAATGGACATGGGCAAAGGAGGGTAATCGATAGATAGCTGGACAGTGAATTGAGGTACTTGGAAGAGGACACTTGTATATGATCATCTGCCAAAGCATCCAGCAAATCTTTACTGAACAGTGTGATAAAAGTGGGATAGTTCCAAACTGATTCATTCAGGCATGGTGTGTGGAAAGCGTAAGCTTGCAGAATCACCCCATGCATGTGGGTTCTATTGCAGCTGGTAACCACAGACCAGCTGAACTTCTTACGTCTGTTTCCTTAGATACAGAATGGGAATAACATCTCATCAGGTTTGTAAGGATTAAATAATATGCACATAAAATGTTCAATCACTATAATAGTATAATATAAAATATTCAAAAAATATTATAACTTGCCCTTTCCATGTTAATCTAACATTTTCATTTCAATACTCGATTTACAGATGATACCAGATAACATTACAATTGGAAGGACTGTTGATTAGGTAATTTAAAATAAATGATGTTCCATATTGTGGAGATTTACTGTATACAAAGGTTGAGGGGAAAATGTTAACTAGTGTCATACACATTGGCTTTTCACAGAATCATTTCAGCAAATTTCAAAACAAAAAATCATTGGGAAGAAATTTAAAGCAACAGAATTATAACATTCTCTGCTTAATTAGCCCAAGGAGACCTAAAGCTAGACCTCTGAGCATTGCTTTTTACTCGCTAGCTAGTTGCCAGACATAAACTTTGTGGTTTGATACAAATGCATGTGTTACCTTCCTGCAGTGTTAGGTCTACTTGTTAGTGGCTTGCTTTACATATCGTATGGACTATATGTATACTAAAGTATGAGCCCAGTGCCACTTTCAAATTACGTTAAACTCTAATTGGATAAGTTAACTTGGGTGATAATTCCACGGCAAACCAAATTTCTTTCACAAAGATTATCTAATGCCCAAACAAAAAGACTGCAAAAACAAAATTTTTATGTCTGGAGACTCCTAGTGTTCTACTTATGAAGAGAAACAATGGTTAATTTAAAGAATTATTTAGGGCAGTGGTTCCCAAACCTGTCTATGCATTAGCATCCCCAAGTGAGCTTTTAAAAATTCCTAAAACCATGCCAGTTTTTGTGGGGTTTTCTGAAAGCTTTCCAGGTGATTCCAATGTGCAGATAAATAAATTAATACAAATTATCCAATCTGTAGAGAGAATCAAGATTGAAGAAAAACAGAGCTTCAGAGACATGTAAGACAATCTCAAGCGATCTAATGTAAATCCACTGGAATTCTAGGAGAAAGCAGGAAAAACACACACGAAGAAATGGCCCAAACTTGCCAAATGTAAACTTACTGATCCAAGCAGCTCAAAAATCCCCAAGCAGAATAAAAATACAAAGAAAAGCATACCTAGGCATATCATAGTGAAACTACTGAAATACAATGATAAAAGAGCCAGAGAAAAAAGCATTACATACAAGAGAAGAATGGTATGAAAGACAGCTCATGTTTCATCAATAACAATGGAAGCCAGCCCTGGCTGGTGTGGCTCAGTTGGTTGAGAGTCGTCCCATGATCGGAAAGGTTGCCTTGGATTCCTGGTCAGGGCAGGCACATGCTGGGTTTTCTAGCTCAGTCCCTAGTAGGGGGCGTGCAGGAGGCAGTCGATCAATGTTTCCCTCTCTCCCTTTCCCTTCTTCTCTCTCTAAAAAATCAATAAAAACATATTTTAAAGAACAACAGTGGAAGCCAGAAGATAATAAATGCCTTTAAATGAAATGAAAAAGATTATCAACCCATAATTCCATCTTTGGTGAAACTATCCTTCAAAGATAAAAGTAAAATAAATGATTTTCAATTAACAAAAACAGACTATTTGTCAGCACAAGCCCATACAAGTCTCAAGAAATTCCTTTAAGCTGAAGAGAAATGTCATTTTGACTGACACTAGAACCTCAAAAATGGTAAATATTTAGCAAATATAAAAGACTATATAAACATCCTCTTTTCTCTTAATTTTTGTAAGAAATATAACTATTTAAAACAAAAATTATAATGCTGTCCTGTTGGATTTATCATATAGCTATAATATATATGAAACACAAAGGAAGACAGGAGAGAACGAATGGAACTATACTATTGCAAGGTTATGTATGAAGTTGTATATTAACCCTAAGTAGATTGTAATAAATTAAAGATATATGTTATAATCCCAGAGCAATTATTAAGAATGTCAACTGTAACTGAAAAATACATTTTTTAAAAAACAAGATTATAGTTTATAAGCCAATAGAAAAAATAAAAACAAAATGCTAAAAATATTCATATACCCCAGACGGCATGCCTTAGCAGCTGAGCATCGACCTATGATCCAGGAGATTGAGGTTTGATTCCCAGTCAGGGCACAGTCCCAGGTTGCAGACTCAATCCCCAGTGGGAGGCGTGCAGGAGGCAGCTGATCAATGACTCTCTCATCATTGATGTTTCTATCTCTCCCTCTCCCTCCCTTTCTCTGAAATCAATAAAGACATTAAAAAAAAAAAAAGCTGCTTTAAAAAAAAAGTCATATAACCCAAAAGACAGGAAAAGAGTAACAGAAGGAGAAAAAAACCCCAAATAGTAAACAAATCCAAACATATCATTAATTACAATAAATGTAAATCAACTAAATACACCACATAAAAAAAGGCAGAGTAGGCTAGATTAAAAAAAAGACCCAAATGTATACTAAGAGGTGAACTTTAAAAACAAATAGGTTAAAAATAAGCAAATGAAAAGATATATCATGCAAATATTAAGCATAAAAGTCATTTCTATTTGGCTTAGATTTAAATTTTAAAAAATAGATTTACCTTTCCAATTACATTTATTACACAAATTATTATCAATCAGGATCTTTGTCAACTTCAAGAGGGAAAAAATACAATAGGCAATTTGGGGTGATTTTTTCTTAAACCTGTGGGTTACATCTGACCCTTGACATTTTTTTTAATTACTCACATGGCTTCTCTCTCCCTTCTGGTATGATTCATAAAACATCTTAACCAGGGAAGCCTTTTATGATTTGCTGGTCTCCCTTATCTGTACTCAAAGACTTTCAGCCTTTGATCTAGCTATTAGAGCAAGTAATGATTCTTAATCACCTTTATCTCATTTTTATTTGTGTTTATTTTGTTCCTTTTATATGCTCATTTCATTTTTGGTTTTATCTATTTCTGTGACCCTGAGGTGGGACCAGCCCACTTGAGGCTGATATCGCCTTCAAAGCCGTGCCCTTAACAGGCTACAGCATCACACCTTTTCCTTACCTATTTTTCTTATACCTCCTAGTTTTAAGTTTTTCTTTCATTTACAAAAAGTTTTTGAGTTTAGCTTTTTCTACATTAAGGACTTTCTAAATCGTTCAAAATCAGACTAACTTATTTTGGAAGAATTTTTCTATATTCTTTAAACAATGCTGAAGCTCTGATGCTCCTTCAGACAACTCACAGCTGGATCAGGGCTGGAAAGAACATGGCTGTCGTAACAAAGAAGCCTCATACTAAGCATGACTACAAAGAATGGTTTTGTGGCATGTGACAAATCTGCTCAACCGTAAGTGAAACACTACCAATTCCCTCTGGCAATCCTGGCTTCGTAAGTAATGCCTATCCCAACAAACTCCACTTGTGTATAGCACCATTTTCTTGTAAACCATGATCTCAGAAAATAAACCTAATTAACAGCTCCACAGTAGAACCTCACTGTTTAAATCACTTTAGAAAATGTTTTAAAGGTGATTTCTGTACAAATTAATGCTTTGAATGTAAAGTCCTTATCTAACTGTGCCCCTGAATAAGGTATAAAGGGTAATATGAAAAAGGGGTAATACTAAGAGACTGCTTAGGTTATTTACTTCTGAAAACTTAGCCATAATCAGGTGCTTTAAGACTTTTCTTTTCAACACTGACCATGTCTTAAAATATGCAGGACAGATTATCAAGGGATTTAGTGGTTAGCTAAACTCTGATGGAATGATTCATTTCAATTTGCTATAGTTTTAAGAAAAGCTTTATGCCTCCTATCAAGAGTAAATATCACACATCCTGTTTATACATACTGCCTTATTGTCCACGGTTCTTCAAAGAGCTGGTGACACCCCCTTAACTCACACTCCACCCAACCCCCCAACTTCCTCTCTTTGGCGTGATATATTCCTACTCACTTTTAAGAAGTACCTCCCTCAACAAAACACTCTGTGTTACAGTAAATTTTAAAGAAAATACTTTATTATGTCATGAAAAAAAGGCATCAATCAACTAGATTCATATTTGTTTGAAAAAAAATTGAAAATTTATTAGACAGTATGTAGGCATCCTGTTTGTTCCACATGGGAATGAGAAGATGCTATAGGTTCTCTAAGTATTGCACAGTCTGAAAAAACACCGACAAAAAAAAAAAAAAGAAGGGGAAGGAAAAAAATCACATGATCTTGGGAACCAACTCACATTATGAATAATCTACTAAGAAACATTAAAAAAAAAAACACAAAAAAACCTTTGTTTCTACAGTAGCTTTGAGTTTATAGTTGTTGGAATGACTGTATTCCACTGAAGACATCTCAGTAACAGGAAGCTTCATTTTAACAATCCCATGTGCAAATATTAATAAAAAAATATATAAAATAATGCAATTTATCTCTTGCCATCACCCCGGCAATCATAACATTTGTGAGAACTGTTTTGCTCGAAAAGGGTTAAGCTGTAAGTTTTGCCTGAAGCTCCATCTCTGCAGCCCGTTTGAGTGCAACATCCACTAGAAGTTGAAATCCACTAAAATCCTGGTTGAGGTCCGGTGGAGTAGGGGGAGGAGTGTTGAAAAGACCACTTTGTGTATTTGTACTTGGTCCAGATTTACATGTGTCCTCTGGGTACATGAGGGAGGTGTCTGTAAAGTTGCCGGCTGCTATCTGCTGTATATCTGTGTTTTGTCCCACACCAACTGGCTGACACAGAGAGAAAGGCACATCTTTCAATGCAGTCACAGTGGTATGACAGATCACTGATGGACGAGCCAGAATTGATCCTGGAGACGACGGCTTAGGGGACAGTGGCCTCCCTAGGGCTAGGTTTGGTCCAGCTGTACAGGAATGAAATGGGCTCTCCTCTAGAGCTGGCATGAAGTTTTTGATGCCCATTGCTGACTCCACAGAGCTTGCTTCAGAAATCTTGGCCCCACGGCGGGAAATCGTGAACTGATTTGGATCTTTGCCATCCTTTCTCAGCATGTCGGGGAGGAGCCTGCGGCGGGCGTTGATGAACCAGTTACAGACCTGAAATCACATGGGTATGCTTTAACACTCCGCATATGTGTTCTGAGAACCTTCCATAGATGCTTAATTATCTTTGCGTTTAAGAAGGCTTGAAAAGGCTTATCGGAAGAACTTACAAAGTTATTCCAACGTATTTGAGCCCAGCCAAGAAAGAAAACTGCTTCCTGTCATAAAACTGCTCCTTTTCTAGTACAAATTCCCCTTTTTGTCTCATCATTCATAAGCCTTTTCAGGGGGGAGATAAAGGTATAAATTCTCAAATGTCTAAAAATGACTTAAGAGAGGGAGATTTACCTTTTGACTCTCCCCCATATTAACTGATTACCTACTGCCCCAGCATGTAAGTTAATAAACTACAGGAAAATCTTTCCTGTATGAAAGGGCCACTCCCCCAAGTTACTGATTTTTCCCAGTTCAAATCACTGTGTCAACAGACAGACATGAATTACCTCACTGAGGTCTGTCCTTGTTTAAATATCAAGCCAGTTTCCTGGGTAATAGAGTAAGATTTAACCTCCTTTTTATGTTTGTTGCATAAAGGAAGGCTCTTTTAGACACTGAAGGAAACGTTATTTGACAGATGACTGTCAAGTGTTCGTTTCTGTATATAGCCAGTTATTAGCTATCAGCACTAGAAAGTTTACAAGGTACCCGCCCCTCCCCACCTTTTTTGAGTGGTGAGGCACTTAATGACTTGACATATAGGAATGCTATAAAATGACTTCAGGAGAAAAAAAGAGAAACCCGTGTATACATATACCTCGTGTTCTTTTTCCCTACCTGTAGTGTAGATAGGTGTGTTTGCTGGGACAGCAATGCTTTTTCTTGTTCTGAGGGATAGGCATTGTATCGGTGTTCATACAGCCAATCCCGGAGAATTTGCACAGATTCCTTGGGCAGGTTGCCCCTTCTCCTTCTCTTGCCTGAGCCAGCAGAAGAGGAAAGGTCCAGGGGGATGTCCATGCTGTCATCATCCTCAGTCTCACTGCCAGAGGCTGCAATACCTAGGAAAGGACAAAGGCCAGACGTCAACCATTTTCATCAAGCAGAGCACCTACTGCAAAACTCATCTCTTTTGACCATTCAGTGTAAACATGTTTCTCAACTACTGAGAGCCAGGGGAAGGACCAGTGAGTGTTTTCTGTCCTGAAATACCAGAGCACATGTAAAGTCTCAAGAGTAATTTGACTAGAAGCACATTCTAGATTCTCAGCCAGTTGCCAGATGCCCTATCATACCCACTTTCCTATAGGATTCAACTTCTTACATTCCTTTGGAATGATACTCAGAAAAGTCTTTCATGTAATCCAACAGAGGAGACAAAGCTCCACCCAAAGTGAGTAACAGCCTGCCACCTGTATCAGGAAAGGTGCTACAACAGATGGAATGTATCTAACAACCTTCTCTTTGAAGTCATTGCTATCTAGGATAAATCTAATGAGTATCCTATTGTACAATTTAAATGCTATTCTTCCTCCTTCTTTCACTGAAGGTTTGAAATAAAAGGGAAGGCTCATAGTTTTTTTTCACTGATATAAGGAGGGAAAATTACACACTTAACCCAGTTAGTATTCTAAAGATAAAAATGTATGTCAAAAGCTTCTGCCAATTCCATGGTCATTTCTTTTTTTAAGAAAATATATCTATTGCTTTTAGAGAGAGGAAGAGAGATAGAAACATCTATGATGAGAGTAACTAATCGGCTGCCTCCTTCAGGCCCCCCACTGGGGATCGAGCCCGCAACCCCAGAATGTGACCTGACCAGGAATCAAACCTCGACCTCCTGGATCATAGGGTGATGCTCAGCCACAGAGCCATGCCAGCCGGGCTAGATACCTACTTTTAATGGCCAGTACTTGTCACTTTTTAGTGAATACAAACAATCAATGAAGTTTTCAGTGTTGTTAACACAAAAATTTTTCTATTAGTACTTTTAGTACGAGGTCAAAGATGCCTAAACTAAATAAAAACTTAAATTTCCATAAACTTCAACTGCCAGATTAATCTGAACCTAGAATTCTACATATCAATAAGCAGAGTTGTCTTAAATTATTACATGACAAAGAAAACTGAATATGCAACCCCAAAGGAAACTCTCTTTTGTCTGTAAGTACTTTAATCCCACCAGAAATTTTAAGAATTCACAAACCATAAAGGATATTCAAATCACACACAGGCTGGGTTGAACAAAAATTCAGACCTGGCTCTTTTAGACATTTAAATATAATTTAGAACTTTTAAATGCTATTAACACACACACCCCACCCTCCCACTTCAAAAGGAGGTGGGCAACTCTTCATGACTGAAGAAATACATTCTCTTTTTGGAACACAATCTAAAATTTTAAAAATAGAAATGAATCATATAAACGATCACATGCTTATACATACCAATATTTCTACATAAAGAAATTTAATTAAACTAACACAAAATTTAAAGGTAAGCATTCTTAACTTTGTGTGCAAACTTGCTTGAATGGTTTACCTGCATAGGAAATAAAAACAAAATATTCTTCACAGTGATCAACTATTCAATGTACTTTTGAGGATTAAAAAAAAAAAAGAAAGAAAAATGCCATCCTTTTAAGGCCTTTATAAGACAATGAAACTCAAAAAGCTACTCATTCATATTTGTTGATGAGATATCTCCCAGTTCATTGAGCCTGACTTTACTTGGTGACACATGGTTAGTTTTGGACTGCAGGGGGCAGAAGTTATTGGGAGTGTCCACAGAAAAGGCAGAACCTTCCTAAAAGTAAACCAAGTTCTAACAAAAGAGCAGGATGATTTTGCAAACTCACTTTAGCTCAAGACTTAATAAACAAACAGCCATCAATAAGCCACACAAGAATCCTAAATTTTAACCCCCATGTATCTGACACTCCCAGAAGCTTTCATTAAACTGCTTATATTTTTTAACTTATTTATTGATTTTAGAGAGAGAGGAAAGAGGGGTGTGTGACAGAGAGACACCGATTTGTTGTTCCACTTATTTATGTATTCATTGGTTGATTCTTGTATGTGCCCTGACCCAGGGATGGAACCCCGCAACCCTGGTGTGCGAGGATGTCGCTCTAACCGACTGAGCTGCCCCAGCAGAGCACATTAAACTGCTTTAAGAAAAAAAAAGGAGGTACATTTAAAACTGAACCTGCTTTCAGTCTTGAAAAGATGAGAAAAATGTAAAACCCACATTAAAATTTGGGTAAAGAGCTATTCATAGAAATCCTTAATAAATTGTAACTGAGCATGTTTTATATTTGCGAAGAAACTGAACTTTTTAAGTCTAACTTTTAAATACTTGAGTAAGTAAAGCAAATTTGTTTAAACTCCTCAACATCTGAAAAGCCAGACATTCTTCTCAAAGCTGTTAACTCCCTCCCTTTTATAAATTTTTTTAAAGTGTGAAAATTTGCTCATTAAACAGTGAACACTCAACTGTAAGTTGATAATAATGAAGAGTTTAAAACAACAACAAAAAGCCCCTGAAGCCTGCACTTCGATCTGCTTTCTTAAGTTTGACAAGAAGCCTGATCTTCCAGAATAGGTTAGTGACACACAAAAGAAGGTTTCAGTTAAGCAACACCAAACTGCAGTGCGACTTGACTCTGTTTTCAGTCCATTTAAATAAATGAATGCCAGGCCTCTGGACCTCTTAACAAATATTTCCAATATGTGCACAAAAGCTGAAGTTACAGGAAGTTAAGACTTCAGTTTCTTGGCTACACCAGCTGATATTTCACTGCAGCAAACCACGTTTGCTGCTGTCAGGACTATTTTCATTAAAACTCTCCCTCCCGATGGTGGCTCAACTTGGAAAAACAAAAAGACCTTTCCACGTTACTCATTTCCTATTGTAACAGAGCTTTTGAAAAGTTTCCCGGTTACGACTTGTTTCCAAACGTCCTGCTCTCTGCTTACACTTTGTAAAAAAATGTGGTTGGTGGAGGGGTGTGGGGATCACAAGCCTCTTTTACTCCATCCACATACAAGGAAATGTTGTTTAGAAAGGCAAAAGATGGCCTATGGCTCCCTCAGCTCTATAAAGCAATCTTTTTTCTTTTTTTTTTTCTGAATAGGAACTGGGGGTGCTGGAGAGAGCCAGAGAGATAATGGTTGTAAATCTAGAAGAGGCTAGAAAAGAATCTAGAAACAGGGATAATCGAAGGAAAAGCTTAAGTGCACAATTAGGAAAAAATAAGCCTAACCTAACAAACTTCCTGATCAGAACATCTCACAAGTGACAGGAATCGTACTAAACCCGAGGTATGCTCAACCGGTCGCAGCCACAGAACAATTTTAAAGCAAGAATTCCACATTGTCAGAAGCGATGAGCAAAAAGCCTTTGGGGATTTTTCTCAAGGAAACTTCTTTCTGCTTGGCTTGAAGCCATTTGTGGAGATCTTTTTGGCATCCTCAGCTTTCTAAGACGAGACACTATTATCACAAACCAGTCTTCCCAAATTCCGGGCTCTGCGATTGAGTTTAAGGTGATTTTGTTTTCAAGAAAACTTGAAAAGATGTTCACAGACTTTTATAAAACGGACAGATAATAATAGTCCATGCCAGGGGGAGGGACAGATTTCTTCCAGAGTCCGAGCTGAGCGACTCGGAACGGCGGCCCCCACCTAGGTAGGTGGCCGGGGGGGCGGAGGAGGCGGCGAG